GAGTGTCGGCGAAGAGGTCGGAGGGAGTTTCTCGCTCCGCAAACCTTCCCTGTATAAAACCGTGTTAAGAGAAATCATTAAAACCTTTAAAAAAAAATAACCAGGTCTGAATTCCCAAAAAAAAAAAAAAAAAAAAAAAAAAAAAAAAAAAAAAAAGAAAGAAAAAAAAAAAAAAAAATATATACAGACTGATCTTATATGCATGACCACTGCTAGTTCTCTGACCCATGCGAGCAACCTATCTCCCTCACCAGCGGGCAATGCCACACCGAACAAGCCTGTGTCAGCGAAGGAGGACGTAGCCACACTTCCCTCTCCCGTGGTTTGGCCTCAACTAGCGCCCTCACTCCCTCGACTCACTGCAACACGAGGTTCCCCCCCCCCCCCATCGCACGAGCTGGCACTACCCGCCGCCATAGCCATCCATCTTGCACCATTGCACGCTCTCCAGCCACGCACCTGTGCTGTCCGATGCGGCCGTATGCTTGCGGGCCCTAAAACTGGCCTTTAAACCGCCATATGTTGAGAGCTGTTTTTTGGGACTGAGTCAAACAGCTGTTTTTTGGGACTGAGTCAAACAGCTGTTTTTGGACTTTGGGGATTGTAATAATAATAACTATTTTGATTGGCACCGGCTTGAGTTTTGGAATCTGACTTTATCTTTTTTATTCTTTTTTTATCATAATTTCTACGTATGTCACTGTTTTTACTACTAATGATGATGATGTTAATACGAATAAAGATAGTAGTGGTATTATTAGTATTAGTGTTGGTTTGAAAGGATAATAATATCCATGATTATTATTATCATTGACATGATTATTTTCACGATGATAATGAAATTTATGATGATGATCATATAAGATAGGAAATAAAAGACAATAATAATTACATCATCCTTCGATTTTTATGGATGATGATATAAATAATGATAATGATAATATGAACAACAACGAGCGAATATGATGCAGTTAGTTACGAAATGAACAATACATAGAGAAAAAACAGCGGTGAATATATGAGAAATATAATAGAAAAAGATAGGATAATAATAGAAAGGAATGTAATGATAATAGGAATAATGATAGTAGAAATATATATATTATTACTAATTTTCAGATCATTGTAATCCAGTAATATTGTCCCACATTATTATTAAATGTTGTCCTTTTGTGCTATTATCATAAGTACACTGATGATAATGGTCATAATTTACGTTATCATAAAAACTTTATCATCATCATTATCATTATTACCATCATTATATATTATTATGCTATTATTATTAATTATTATTATTATTATTATCATTATTATTATATTATATATTAATCATAATTATTATTATTATTATTATTATTATTATTATTATCATCATCATCAACGTTCTTATTATTTTGTTCATTTATTATTATTATATCATATTTGCTGTTGTTATTATTATTATTGTTATTATTATTACTTCATTATTATCATAATCATTATTATCAATATTAATAATTATCAATTATCATTATCATTATCATTATTATTATTTTTTATTATTATTATTATATTATATTATTATTATATTATTATTAGTATTATTATTATTATTATTATTATTATTATTATTATTATTATATTATATTTATTACATTATTATCATTAACCATTCAACATTATTATCATATCATATCATTACTATTTATAAACATTTTTTTTTATCATTATCATTATTACTATTATCATAATTAATTGTTATTATTATCATTATCATTATTTACATTGATTACATCATTATATATTATCATCATCATTATCATTATCATCATCATTATCATTATCATGCAATCATTATCAGTATCATTATCATTATCATTATCATTATCACTATATCTATCATTATTATTATTTATATTTCATTTCATTATTATCACTATTATTATTATTATTGCCTTCTTATTCTTTCTTAATATTATCATTATCATTAATGTTATTATTATTATCTTTATTGCTGCTGCTATTATTATCATTATCATTATCATTATTATCATCATTGTCATTATTATTATTATCATCATTATCAATATTATTACTATCATTACAATTATAATTATTATTTCTAATATTTTATTTATAGTTTTTTGTTATCATTAGATTGATGATGATCATAATTATGATAATGATATCAATGATAATCATTATTATCTTTACTATTACTAATACTTTTTGTTGTTATTATCATTATTAGCATTGCTATTACTATTATCATTAATAATATTTTTTGCTACTATCATTTGTTTTACATTATTATCATATCATGCTACATTATCATGTAATGATAAAAAATAATGATGATATATTATTATTAATAATAATAATAACAATAATGATGATGATAATAACAATAAGAATGATGATAACTGTGATAAAATAATAATTAACAATTATAATAATGTTAATGATATTGATAATAATGGCAATGATAATGATAGTGATAATAAAGATAAAAGTAATAACAATGAAAATGATAATGATGATAATGATGATTATAATTGATAATGATGATAATGATAATTATAATGATAATAATGATTGTAATAAACGAATGCTGATCCAAATGACCAGCAAAATTTAATGGCATCTAAGTTGAACTAAAATGAATTTTTGATAATAATTTGATAAACATCTGTTCATAACTTTTTGAGTTTACTAACTGACCAACCAACAACATAACCTCATTATTATCTTCCTCATCATTACTGTTATTATTATTATCATATTATCGTGACAATATTAAAAATGATGATGATAATGATAATTATGATAATAATGAAACAAGTAATATAGAGTGATTAAATTTCTTATTATTGGTTAAAATTATTCACTATTAATATTAGGTATCCATTCTTATAATTACCATTAATTACTATCATTGTTATTGTTATTTATTACTATTTATTTCTACCATTAATTATTATTATCAATTATCATCATGATTATCATTATTATAATCAGTGGTATTTATCATTATATTAAGATTATTTTGAGTTATCCTATTACTATCATCATTATCGTTGCTGTTATTATCATTATTATTATCATTATTATTACTTGATCAATTGTTGCACATTATTCATTGTGTATTATATCATATTATCATTTATTATTGTCCAATATCATTATCATCATGTAATTATGTTATTATTATCGTTCATGATGATTATTATCATACTTATTCAGTACTATCGTTATTCATCATATTGTATCATTATCATTTGTTATTATCATTTCAATAATCATCATCACTAACACTATGCTTGTGTTCTGTGTAATAATTTCCGCACTCTGAAAAATTTACCATTACTGTTATCGATTTATTATTATCAATAAGTAGCAATAGATATTCATTTTATTATGTTATTTAAGGATATTAACTGTTATCTCATTACCTAGTTGATTATTCATTATTCATCATAGAATGTTATCATTGATGATATTCACATGGGTATTGTTATTGGATTATTGTTGGTTATTGGTTAGTAATACAATTATTTGTGATATAGTCAAGTATGATTGTTGTGTTGATGGGGAATTTATCACTGTTGTTATGAGAAGGAATATAGGTGCGAATGAGAACCAGTAAATTTGGTGCATGTATTGATGGTCGATGTGATCATGGGTGATGCGGTTGACTCTCAATGTTAGGATCATCCTATCACAAATGTTATATATATATAATATAATGTTGTCATTTTAATCGAGGTAATTTATCGATCAATTGTTGTTTGTTTACGTAAGATTAAAGTATCTATGGATAGTAAATATATGTGTATGATCTATCTTTATTATCTAGAGATAGTAAATCTATTTAATTCGTATATTATTCTATCAATATCCTAGAATAAGTTAGGATATAAATGGAGTAATTCAGATATAGCATACGAGTGACATACACACAGCACATAACACACGGTAATATGAGAATATATAGATATATAGTAGTAATAGTATAGAATAAGTTATGAAATATATATATATATATATATACATATATTAGATAGTATATATATAGAGTATATATATATATATATATATATATATATAATATATATATATATATATATATATATATATATATATATAATATATATAATATATACAATATATATTATATATATTATATATATATATATAAATATACATAACTTATATATACATATACAATATAAATATATATATTATAGCTATATATATAGAGAGAGTAGATGTGATATAATATATATAGATAAGTAGGAGTAGAGGAGGGTGATAAGTAGATGGAAGTAGAGTAGATAGCGAAAGGAAGGTAAGGGTATAGTGGTAGAGTATCGTGGGAGGTGTGGGGATGTCAATGTGTGGAAATGGATGGGAATATGGTGCGGTGTGAGGATGATGGTACATAGGAACGGATGAAATGCAGAATTCAAGTGAAATTTCATGGAAGTGATCTTTTTTACTATTTGTGCGTTTTTTGCGGAAAGGAATATAATCAAGTAATTGTATAGGACTGAGACCAAGTAATATTTCATAACTATAAGAAAAGAAGAGGTGGAATATTGGGTTAGAAGCATATCATTCCACAAAAGTTTTTACGCATTATGGACTACGCATTACTTGTCCACGCCAGAAAATACTGAAGAAGAGAGAAAGAAGAAATATAGCCAAGACACCACCTCCGAACACACTGGATACACCTGCACACCTTAGACCTCAAAGAAAAAAAAGCCCAAACCCTGGTTCCGAACGCATGACCCGACCTTAGAACTTCGAAAAAAAAAAAATAAAGTCAAAACCCCCAGTTCCGAACGCATGACCCAACCTTAGAACTCAAAAAAAAAAAAAAAAAAAAAAATAATAATAAACAAATATATAGATAAATAAAGCCCAAAACCCCAGTTCCGAACGCGTGACCCGACCTTAGAACTCAATAAAAAAAAAAAAAAATAAAGCCAAAAAACCCCAGTTCGAACGCATGAATGACCGACCCCGCGCAAGGCAACGCGCCCCAGCAGAGGCCTAGGAGCACCAGTGCCAAAGGGTTGGAGACGAACACGGCGCAATTGGCACTGGGTGGGGGTGGGGGGGGTGAAGAGGGGGTGGGGGGCTGAAAGAGGGGGTGGGGTGGAGGGGGGGGGGTCAGTCGGCGCATCAGGGACCCGCACGAGAAAGTGAAAAACCTCGACGTCTGTTTGAAGCTGCGAATGTCCGCGATTTAAAGTTATATTGAAACAGTTAAGGAGAACTATTCGTGCTGTCGCCTGGAGGTGCCGGTNTTCATTACATCATTATTTATACCTTTATCATCTTATTATTATCTATTTTATTACCTTTATCATCGTTATTATTATCATTATATTACCTTTATCATCGTTATTATTATCATTATTATTACCTT